CTCATTTAGAGAGATTCTGATGTAATTGGCCTGAGGTGGGACTTGAGCATTGGTACTTTTCTTTTTCCATGATGTTCTCAGGTGATTTGCATCAATGTTTGAGAATGATAGTGCTTAGCTTAATATTAGATTTAGAAAAGCTTTACTATGATTCATAGTTATATTGTGATTCAATAATCCCTGCTATTTTTAGCACTGGCTATTTGTAATAGGGTGCTTCAGAGCTTTAAATGAACCAAGCTACTAAAAAAAAGGTGGCATGATGGAAAATGGCAAGTAGTTTCCCCCCTAAGGAACCAGTAAGATGACTGGAAGGTGCTCAACAACTGAGAAGATGTCTGGTTTGCATCCTTTAGTAGCAGCTGGCAGCAGCAGTACATTTGTATCCTTTTAGGCCCTGCCCTATTTTTTTAGAAAGAAAGCATACATGTTACTTTGTAATTTTAAAAAAGTAAAAAGAAAGAGGTTAAAAAGGAAGCATGGTGATGAGATTAGGAAGACCATGGTCTTTGGAGCCTTATTTAAGCTCTAGTTTAGATCCCACTAGTTCTGTTTTTCAGAATGGTGATAAAAATACTAATAACAAAATTTTCTGTATTAACCAGTAATGTTTTGGTATGTTGTTGTTATTTGCTGTCGAGTTGATTGCAACTTATAGTGACTGTGCACAATGGATCTGAACCCTGCTCTATCCTAAACCAATCTCACTGTCTCCAACACACCCACATCCATTGTTACCTCACTAGGAGTCAATTCGTCTCATCCAGGGATTTCCTCTCTTGCTCAGTCCCTCCACCCTTCCAAGCATGCTGTCCTCCTTCCCAGACTGGTACCTCTTGGCAGAGTGCTCAAAGTATGTGTCACAAGCTTTAAAATCTTTGCCTCCAAGGAGCAGCTTGGTTTCACTCTCTCTAGGACATACACATACCTGTTTTTTCTCTTAGCCAGTCCATATATTGTTTAGTACTCCAGCACCACACCTCAAAGGCATCGGTTCTTCTTCTGTCATCTTTAGTCATTTTCCAGTTCTCTGATGCATAGCAAGTAATTGAGAGGACCATGGCTTAGGTCAGGTGCACCTTAGTCTCCAGACTAATATCAGTGCTTTACAGCACTCTGTAGAAGTCCCTTACAACAGATTTTTCCCAATGCAGTTTGCCTTTTGATTTCCTGGCTGCTGATGCCAAGATTGTTGATGGTGAAACCAAGCAAACAGAAGCTGTTAACAATCTTAATATCTTCTTCATTCGTCTTGATGCTGCCAGTGGCCCAGTGGTGAGAATCTTTGTCTTCTTGACATTGAGCCTCAACCCATACTGAAGGCTGCAGTCCTTGACCTCTTGTATCAAATGCCTCAGGTCCTCTTCAGTTTCAGCAGGCAAGTTTGTGTCATTTGTATAATGCATGTTGTTGATGAGTCTTCCTCCAATCCCAATGCCACATTCCTCCTCAAGAGTCCAGCCTCCCGGATGATCTAGTCTGCACATAGATTGAAAAGGTATGGAGTCAGGATGCATCCCTGGCATATACATTTCCTGATTATGAATCATGTGTCCTCATTCTTTTTTGATGACTGTCTGTAGGTCCAAGCATAGGTTTCAAATAAGCACAGTTAAGTGTCCTGGGATTCCCATTATTCTCAAGGTTAGCCAAAATTTGTTGTGATCTGCACAGTCAAATGCCTTTGTTTAGTCAATGAAACACAGCTAGACATTCCTATGGTACCCTCTGTTTTCAGCTAAGATCCATCTAACATTGGCTGTAATGTCTCTAGTGCTTAACCTCTTTTTTTCCCCCCTGGAAACATGAGATTTATGTTTGTTCGGAGGTAGGAAAGGAGTGGTTGAGGGAAGCTGGGAGTCCCTTTGCCCTTATTCTTTTTAACATCATGCTAAGTCTCCAAGCTTTTGCATTTCCAGGTAGAGTGGGGAAGTGGGTGAGTAGATGGCCTTAGTTACAGAGGTAAGCCAAGAAGACTTCACAAATGGCTCAAAGACCCAGTCCACCTCCCACTGTCTTCCTGTGCTGGCTCAGATGTCAATGGGTTCTGCCTCTTCACCACAAAAACCCTCTGTCCTGACACGGTCACCAGCAGCGTGTGTTCTCCAAAGACCACAAACAGACATTTGAAGGGTATGTTCGTGCTGTGGTGCAGACGAAAACCACAAGCTGTGCTGACTAGCTCTGAGATGGCACTGGCTGCCTGCTCGTCATTTTCTAGATCCCCAGATGACATCGCAGGTTTAAGGTGCTAGGGGCACTTCCTACCAAACAGGCAGCTTCTGATGCTTGTCCCAGATCATGTGCTGCTGTGACCTCTTTTAAACCCAGCTTGCACATCTGACAGTTCTCTGTTGATGTACTGCTCCAGTCATTTTTGGGTAATCTTCTGCAGGATCTTGCTTGCATATATGTATCTCTTCTAGTCAGTTGGCCAGTTAGTTGTCTTTCAGATTTCTAGGCACTACCTGGTGAGTGTGTCCAGGGTGACATCTCTTTGTTGAAATATGTCAGTTGGTATGCCATCAATTACTGGAGCCTTGTTTTTGCCAATTCCTTCAGAACAGCCTTAACTTCCTCCTTCATCACCATTGCCTTTTGATCATATGTTGTTTCATGAATTTTTGTGTGTTTGATGAAATTTTGTCAGCCACTTCTTTTTGATATAGTGACTTTACATACTCCTTCCATCTTCTTTTGATGTTTCCTGGGCCATTTCAGTATTCTGTCCACAACATCATTAAGTATTGCAACTAGAGGCTTAAATTTCTTCTTTAGTAACCTTCAGCATAAGAAATGCCAAGTGAGTTCATCCTTTTTGATTTTCCAACTTCAGCTTTGCACATTTCATTATAATATTTTGCTTTATATTCCAGAGCTGCCCTTTGAAATATTCTGTTGAGCTCCTTAACTTCTTGATTTTTTCCCTCTTTGTTCTGGCTTCTCAGGTCTCTAGTGCAATATTTAGAGTCTCCTCTGACATCCATTTTTGTCTTTTATTCCTCCTCCATTTTTGTAATGATCTTTTACATTCTTCATGGATGCTATTCTTGATATCCTCCCACAGCTAATCTTATCTTTGCTCATTCATGTTCAAAATCTGTTTCTGAGATGGTTTTTAAATTCATGTGAGTTAGGCTCAAGGTCAAACTTTGGTTCTTCTGGATTTTATTTTATTTTCTTTAGCATCAGTTTGAACTTGCAACCTTAGTACCCAGTAGTCAGGAAATAAGGAGACACATTGCACTTGGAAAATCTGCAGTTAGAGACCTCTCCAAAGTATTGAGGAGTAATGATGTCTGTTTGATGACTAAGGTGTATTTGATTCAGGCCATAGGCTTTCTGATCACTTGCTATGCATCTGAGAGCTTGACAATGAATTAAGATGACAGAAGAAGAACTGACATCTTTGAGCCATGATGTTAAAGAAATGCACTGAACATATCACGGACAGTCAAAAGAACAAACAGGTATGTCTTCAAGAAGGTGCAGCCAGAATGGTTTTTGGAGGCAAAGATGATGAGGCTTCTTCTCACATATTTTGGGCATGTTGCCAGGGGGGCTGCTGTTCCTTGGAGAGGGACATGATGTTGGGAAGGGTGGAGGATCAGTGAAGGAGAAAAGACTCTCAACCAGGTGGATTGACATGTGACTGCTGCAGTGGACTCTTGTATGTCAGGAAGTGTGAGGGTGGCACAGGACAGACAGGGTTCAGATCTTTTGTTCATAGGGTCGCTATGAGATATACTTGATGCACCTCACAACAAGAACATAAGTAGTTCCACAATCAGCATCTAGCCTAGTTTTCACAGCTGATATTGAGCTTCTCCAGTGATTTTTCTCCACAGATGTAGTCAATCTGATTCCCGTGTAAGCCATCAGGTGAGGTCCATGTGTATAGTTGTCACTTGTATTTTTTATTTTAAAAGGTATTTTCAATTAATAAATCATTGATTGTATGAAATTCTATCTTTCTTCAGCCTCATTTCTTCCACCAGATCCATGTTTCCTCACTACTAATCTTTCTTCCTTGCCTCAACTTTTGTATTCCAGGCACAGAGGAATTAATGTTTTTGTATAGATGTAAATTTTTTTATGTGTGTGCGTGTATATATATAAATTGCCATTTCAGTGTTTTTAACATGTAGAAGTCATTAAGATTATTTTCATCACATACCACCATCACTACTATTTTCACATTTTTCATTGTCCATGTCTTCCTTTTAAGAAATTTTTAGATATAAAGAAATTGGGTAATTGTATACTATTTTTGTTCTTACCTTTAAGGAACTCTGGTGGTATTGTAATTAAGGTATTTGTCTGCCACCCAAAATGTCAATGGTTCAAACTCCCCAGCTGCTTCCAGGGAGGTGGACTTGGCATTTGGCTCCAGTCACAATTGTAGCTCTTGTGTAGCTCTGCTCTGCCCTGCAGGGTCACTGTGAGTCAGTGCTTGTGGTGAGGGCCGTTCTTTAGAAATAGAAATGTTTTTGCTTTTTCCTAAATTGCTCTATGATGTTTACCTTGCACTCTGATAATACGTAGGGCACACATGCTATAAAAATCAATAACCAACTTTATTTATTCTGACTTTATTTCTCACTGTATATTAAGAGATTCTTAATGCTAAGGATGGCTTAAATTTGAATAAAATACAATAGAATAAGATTTAATGTGAAATTCTATTAGGTAGTAGTTCTACAAATCAAAATACTAGAATGAGTTTTCAAAGGAATTGAGTGTGGTGTATGACTCTAAAGGAACAGGATTGCTTTAAAAATGTGTATTTTAGAACTTAAATATCAAAATAAGTGCTATCTATCAAAGTAGTTCCTTTGAGAGTGTATCTAAAATTACTGAGGGACTGTTACATTATGATTGCTTGAAATGGACCTGATTTCTTTAAAGGACAGTGTTAAGCCTTTGATGCCTGTTGCCCTGCTAGTCCCACTGTGCTGGGTTTTCAGGCCTGGTTCTGATGCTGTCCTTACTGTCTGCAGTGATTGTAGGTGCCAAGGAATGCGAGGTGGACAGCGCGGAGGAGGTGGCCAGCCTGCTGCAGGCTGGCAGTGCAGCCCGGCATACAGGCAGCACACAGCTCAACGAGCACTCAAGCCGATCCCACACCATCTTTACCATCAGCCTGGGCCAGGTGGACAGAATCCTGGAGGCTGCTCCCGACCGAGCCTGGCAGTCCCCTCGGCACATTGTGTCCAAGTTCCACTTTGTGGATTTGGCTGGATCAGAAAGGGTAACAAAAACAGGGAATACAGGTGAGCGGTTCAAAGAATCCATTCAGATCAACAGTGGCCTGCTGGCTCTGGGGAATGTGATAAGCGCACTTGGGGACCCTCGCCGGAAAAGCTCACACATTCCATATCGGGATGCAAAAATAACCCGACTTCTCAAAGATTCCCTAGGAGGCAGTGCCAAGACTCTCATGATCACATGTGTCAGCCCGTCTTCCTCTGATTTTGACGAATCCTTAAACTCTCTCAAATATGCCAACAGAGCCCGTAACATTAGGAACAAACCCATTGTGAACTTCAGCCCTGAATCAGACCGTATGAGTGAAATGGAATTTGAGATTAAGATGCTTCGAGAAGCTTTGCAAAGTCAGCAGGCTAATGCCAGCCAGACCCATTTAGAGGGACTTTCTGATCGAGGTAGGGTCCATTCTCTTGAGGAGCTAGTTGCCCAGCTACAAGGAGAATGTCTGGGTTACCAGAACTGTATAGAAGAAGCCTTTACCTTCCTGATGGACTTGAAAGATCAACTTAGACTAAACCAAAAGCAGCAGCACAAACTTCAGGAGTGGTTAAACATGACCCAAGAGATGAGGAAGGCGGCATCCATCTCATTCAAACACGAAGGCCCTGCAAACCGAGAAGGGCCACAGCACGCTACAGTTTTCCAGCTGAAGAGAGAGCTGAAGAAATGCCAGGTATGTAGGCCTTACTTTCATAAGTAATATGTGCAAAAAGTAACTTATTTGGGGCAGGTAAATTCTAAGAGTCATTAAGAAATTCCAGAAGTTTTTAAGATGAATTATACGTGATATGCTCCTCTGTACCTTTTACTCATGTACTTTCTCCATTTTTTTACTAGTTTCTCCTCATAATTAATCTTTCTTGGCTCCTCCTTCCTTTCCTTTCGTTCAGATGTTCCAATTTATGTTTATTAAACAATACTTTAGGCCTATTTGTAATCCAGAGAATAAAAAGCAACAATTTCAGAGACAGAATTGAGGTTACTATGTTCTTCTTCTTCTCTGGATTTATGGTTCAGCAAGTAAAAAGTATATCATCCTTTGTTTACAGTATAAAAAAATTTTTTTAAAAAAACACAATTTCATGTTGTAATATTTAAAGAATGTAAGCATGTTCATAGATGCATGTTCTGTGTATGTTTTGTAGAATTCTGTTTTTCTACTTTTCATTAAAAAACTGTATTGAGTGAAGATTGTCACTGAGTCTCTTAGTTATATAGTGCTGTTATATATAGTTATATATTGCCGCTATATCAGCAATAGCACAAGTGGGAAGCTTTAACACAAAGTTACCTTCTCACTGTTTAAGACGCATAAAATTTGAATTGAGGGTGCTATCTCCAGGTAACTGCTTCAGATACCTAAGATAGCTGGAGAGAGTCTTCTGTTGGGAACTAAATACTCTCATTAGCAAGTACCAAGATGGAGACTTAATTTTAAGTCCATTAGATAGAAGATGAAATTGAAGTTGACAACATGTGGAAAAAAAATTAGTGTAGCTTAGAAGGGTGGAGGGACAGTGTGAGAGAAGACCCTGGGTGAGATGGATTGACACAGTAACTGGATAATGGGGATAGGTGAGTCAGAGGCAGTGAGACTAGCTCAGGATAAAGCGGGTATTACAGCTATGTACATAGAGTTGCTAGAAATTGCAGGCAACTCGATGGCAAATAACAGCAACAACAACAGCATAGTATACTTATGAAAAGAGTGTCAGGAGGGTTTTACAGTGTATAAAAACATGTAACGTGTGCATTACTTGCATAGAATAACTTGTAAGATAGACCATTGGATTCCAGCTAACAGTAATCCTACATCAGGTTCCAAGAGCTGAACTTGAACAGAAGGTGGCTGCCCAGCGTCCTCCAGGGTAGTGGCTGATGGGTTCAAACTGCCAACCTTTTGTTTAGAAGCTCAAAATGTAGAAGAATAATGTCAGCTAGACCTTATAACTGTGGGGTTAAAGGACCATTAGGGTTATGCATCTCTACTTCATTTGGGAACTGAGAATCCAGAGCCACAGAAAAGAAGAGTCTTATCCAAAGCCCCTTAGGGTGGCTTTGGCAAAAGGCAGCCTGACTCCAGTCCTGGGGTCCTAATCCGGGGAGTCACCCATTTCCACGAATTTTCATGGATTGCATATTATTTATAAAATGAAAAAGAATTTTATAAACTAAGTACATGTTTAGACTTTCCTTGTTCCTTACTAGAAAAAAATTGCTGAGACTTTAATCCAGATAGGCTGTGGTATTGATGCTTAAGAGTCTTACTTATTCACTCATGGTTTCATCTTGGGAAAAGGTTTTACTCTTCCTAAGCCTGTTTCATCTGTAAAAATGGAAGTGTAAGTCTTTTCAGTGAGATCTTTTAAAAATGTGAAGCCAGTATTTAGAATGACCTCGCTTCTTGCCAAATTTTAACTTTCTATTTACTTTTAAAATGCACTAAATATATTTTTTGTGAATCCCTAGCATTCTTTTTTTAAAAAATTTACTCATTTTAATAAACATTTACCAAGATTTTGGATTTCCATTCATTCATTGTTGCACTTTTCTCTCTGTCCCCCACCTCCCCACAGTTCACTCTTCTCTTTGAAAAGTAAAAGAAAAATTCTTCATTCGTATACAAGCCCCCTGCCCTGAGTACACTCTACTATGCAACCTTCATTCTGGACTCTTGTGATAACCATAATACCCTATCATATATTGCTTTTAAACTGTTCTCTCCCTCATCTATTTCAGTGCAATATACATAATTTATCCAGTTTATCTCAGTCTTACCCTAACCCTGATGGCAGTCCCATTCTACAACAGTGGCATTATGCAATATTTGTCTTTTTGTGACTGAGATATTTCACTCAGCATAATGTCCTCCAGGGTCATCCATTTTGAATAATATTGCATGAGTTTCTTGTTTTTCAATGTAGCGTAGTATTCCATTGTGTGAATATACCAAAGCTTCTCTGTCCATTCGTTTGTTGATGGGCACTTAGGTTGTTTCCAACTCCTTGCTATTGTGAACAAAGCCACAATAAACATGGGTGTGCATATATCTGGTTGGATGGTAGTTATGGTCTTTTGGAGGTATATTCCCAGTAGTGGAATTGCTGGGTCAAATGGTATCTCTATTTGCAACATTTTGAGAAAATGCCACACCACTTTACACTTCCACCAACAGTGAATACGGTTTCCAGTTTCTCCACAACCTCACCAGCATTTGTTGCTTGCTGTTCTGTTAAATTTTGCTATTCTGACTGGGGAGAGATGATATCTCATAGTTGTTTTGATTTGCATCTCGAATCCCTAGTATTCTTTTTTAAAAATTATTTTTCATTTTTATCTGGTTTGCATACAAAATTCGTATACATGTTGTCTCATGCAGCCATTCCCATACATTGTGAGATGGAGCTCTGATGGCAGAGTGATAAGGAGTTGTGATGCCAGCCTGCAGGCACACAATTTGAATCCACCGTCTGTTCTGTAAGAGAAAGATGTGCAGTCTCCTTTCATGCAATTTACTGCTTCTGCAAACCTGCTGGAAAGACAGGCTATGAGTTGGTTTCATCTCCACAGTACATAATAGTATACTTGAAGGGAGATGTGGTAATGGAGCAAGTTCTGCTGCTAGTCCAAAGGCCACACCTCTGGTGTTTGGAATTCTAAAGAAGCTCCTCAGGAGAATGATGAGCAGTTTCCTCCCCTGTGATTTATAGCCTCAGAAACCAAATTGAGGGGTCGGGTATGAGTTACTTCAGACTCAATAGCAAGAAGTGAATGAGTGAAGATATATGAAAGCAAGCATAATTTCCTGGGGAGTTAAGATATAATTAATTGTTCAATCATGTTATTGACATCTTCAAAATATAAAATATATCCATCAGAGTGAAAATGTACAAAATCAGGAATCAGCTGCTGATATCATTCATTAACATAAATATTTTATTGACAGATAAATTGAGGGCTGTTATTTAATATGGGTATTGCTTATGGATCTAAAAAAATGAAATCTTTTTATATTAATAGATTATTATACATTTTCTATTAATACATTGTAATTATGTGTTATCAGGTGGACTAAAACTCATAGGAACTCTGTGAACTTTGCATTATCCTGACCCTGAGATGACCTCATGGTCTCTGACACCCGTACCCCCATTGCCACAGTTGCTATGTCAATCCATCTCATCCAAGGTCTTGCTCTCCTATGCACTGACCCTATGCCCTTTCAAGCATGATGTCTTTTTCCAAGGTCCCTCCTGGCAACATTCCCAAAGTACGTCAGATGGACTTTGAAAATCTTTGCTTTCAAGGAGCAGCCTGGTTGCACCCTCTCTAGGACAGATCTGTTTGTTCTCTTGGTGGTCCATGGTACATTTAATAGTCTTCTCCAGCACCACAGCTCAAAGGCATCGATTCTTCTTCTGTCATCCTTAGTCATTGCCCAGTCCTCAGATGCATAGGAAGCAATTGAGAAGACAGTGGGCTGGATCAGGCACACCTTAGTCTCTAGAATGCTGTCATTTTGCTCTAGTACTCTGGAGAGGTCTCTGACATCACACTTTCCTTAAGCAATTTGCACTACTAACAAATAAATAGACATTTTGAAATTGTTTCTATACCTGCAAGTCAGAGTTGGGAAAATATTATTCTTTCACTTTTTAAAAGTCCGTGTTAAAAGCCCATGACAAATCCAGCAAAACTATGAAAATCGTACTGAAGATATTCTAGAACCTGAACTTCTGGCTTTCATTTTAAGCCCCTGGAAGCACAATTCAGAAACATCTTAGGAAATCCACAGTTACTAATTTCTATGCTATAGCTATGATAGTTTTTTTCCAGTATTTCTGCCTTTCTTGGAAAAATGTCAAGGTGAGGATGGGCAGAGGGCAGGAGAAAAGAAATTTTTTTTCCCAGTGGGGTGAAAAGAAAATCTACTGACTGGGAATTGGGAGGGAAGAAAGAAATCACATATAATGGGGGTGCGGGCAGTGTGAGAAATGGAAATGAAAAGATGATAAAACTTTCAAGAGACGTCTCCAAACCACAAATACCATTTTTGTGAGTTCTCCAAGTCGTCATAGCTTCTGGATATTTTTTCTGGTGGCTCTCACATGCCTTCTTTCTCTCCTAGTGTGCTCTTGCTACTGATGAGGTAGTATTTAATCAGAAGGAACTGGAAATGAAGGAGCTAAGGAGTCAAGTGGAAATGATGGTACAAGAGAATAAAGTACATGTCTTATCTTTGAAAGAAGCACAGAAAGTTAATAGATTGCAGGTAAAGCTTCTATAGATTGAGTTGAGTAAGACCTAACTGATCATTTTAATTTTTATATTGGTTTGCTTACAAAGTCCATATACATTGTGTTTTGTGCTATTCTTCATTTACATTTTATTTCATTTAATCATTTCCCATGCTTTATGTTTTATAAATTTAATCATTGAACTGTGCCCATCATTATCCTCTCTTCTCAGGTCCCTATTGGATTTTCCCCCTTTCCTTTACTCTTTCCCTCCACCCATCAAATTATGTAACTGTGTGGTTTCACCCCTACCTATCCTCACCCCTTTGTTTCTACCCTTTCCCCCTTCAGTCCCTTTACATAGTTTGCTAGTTATCCTTCTGTTATTACAATAATGGTCTTAGGCAGTATTTGTCCGCATGAGACTGCGTAGTTTATTCAGCATAATGCTCTCCAGTCTCTCCCAACTTATGTAGTAAGTGCTGCATAGTGTTCCATTGTGTGAAAGTACCACCGTTTCTCAATCCATTAGTTTGTGGTTGGACAGTTGAGCTGTTTCTATGTTCTTGTGATTGTGAATAATGCTGTTGTGAACATTGGTATACAGATCTCAGTTTGTGTCTCAGTTCTGATTTCCTTGGTGTATTCTTAGTAGTGGAAGAGCTGGGTCATTCACAGATTCTGTGTTCAACTTTTTGAGGAAATGCCACACTGTCTTCCAGAATTGCTGCCCCATTTTGTAATTTCACCAACAATGTATGAGACTTTCCACCTCTCCACATCCTCTCCAACATTTATTGCTTGCTGCCTTGCTAAATTTTGTCACTGCTTTGGGGTAAAATGGTATCTCATTGTGGTTTTGATTGACGTCTTGCTTATTGTCAGTGATTTTGAGCATTTCTTCATGTATCTGTTGGCTGTTGGAATGTCTTCCTTTGTGAAAAGCCTTTCTGTATCTTTTGCTCATTTTGTAATTGGGTTATCAGTCTTCTTTTTTTTCCTTGTCTATAGGCTCAAGAGTATTCTGTAAACTTTTGTTATGAGACCTTTGTCTGAGATGGTATTGCCAAATGTATTCTCCCAGTCTGTTGATTTTTCTTGACACCCTACTGAAAAAGTTTTTTAGGCACAAAAGGATTTAGTCTTTTTTCCCCCCAGTTTTTCAGATTGTGCATTTCTATCTGTATTTGTCAGCCTCTTTATGCCATAGACTAGGCCTTCTAAGTTTGGTCCCAGTTTTTCTCTTTTGAAACTTAAGGTTTGGGGCTTTACTCCCAGGTCTCTGATGTTCCTTGAGTTGATTTTTGTATATGGTATGAGATGTAGATCCTGTTTCAGCTCTCTGTAAATAGCAGTACAGTAAGACCCAACTAAATTTGAACCAGGATCCAGTTAACTAGAGTGAAAACTTAATTTTAATTGTGACACTGTGTGTATTGTTTAGTTTTGTGCATTTGAATTTAGAATTGCTGCATTCGTTTTCTGGACTGTAATCTTATAAAGACAGATTCTTTCTTGTTCCGAGGCTAATGAGTTCCAGCTACTAACTTTGGCAGCCAAGCCTTTACAGCCAAGTCCAGTCATTGTACCAGTAAGGTTCCCATTATCTCTTCCCCCTGCCCCTTTTCCTTTCCACCACCAATAACATAAACTTAGTGCAACTTAACAAAAAACTCCCTTTCTGCTTCTCTCCTACTCTTAGTCATCACTAGTAATTTTCCACTCCTATGTATTTAAGGAGCCTTTGAAACAGACAGGAAAGCAATGGGAAACTAACTTTTAAAATACCTATAATAAGTAGAAGATAACATTTCTTTAATAATATTTTAAAAGGAAGAGGTATCTCAGGCTGAAGTCCTCAGTGAATGCTTACCTTTCTGCCTTGCAGTCTACAGCTGAGATTCACTTTCTTTTTGGAACGTCATAATTGATAAGACCTTATGACTTCACATCAAACATGACCTTTTTCAGTGAATAGAAAGAAATAATCTTAGCTGAATACTTTAAAGTTTGCTCTAAATCACAGACTTCTATGCTTTTCCATTTAGCTTTCCTCTTCATATAATGCACTGAATAAAATGGCCTTCCTTCCATATAAAAGCATTTTTTCCCTGAGACCAGTCTGATGGGAAAGGCCAGCATTTAGCTAATGCATGCAGCCCAGATGTCCCTTCCTGATGACCTTTAACTTTGTTATCCAATCTTGTGTGGTTTTTTTTTAAATTTAAGTAAAAATTTTTATTTTACAATGATTTGCTTACAAAGTTTGCATACATTGTTTTTTAGACTGGATCTTTCCCATTTCTTTTATCCACCTCTGTCTACACTTATCAAATTGTGGGACCCTACAATTAAGCACCCCTTTAACATCTCCCTGCTGGTCCTCTCTGCCTCCGCCCCCCCACTAAGTTTATGTTATTGGTGGTGGAAAGGAAAAGGGACAGGGGGAAGAGATAATGGGAACCTTGCTGGTACAATGACTGGACTTGGCTGTAAAGGCTTGGCTGCCAAAGTTAGTAGTTGGAACTCATTAGCCTCGGAACAAGAAAGAATCTGTCTTTATAAGATTACAGTCCAGAAAACGAATGCAGAAATTCTAAATTCAAATGCACAAAGCTAAACAATACACACAGTGTCACAATTAGAATTAAGTTTTCACTCTAGTTAACTGGATCCTGGTTCAAATTTAGTTGGATGTTACTGTACTGCTATTTACAGAGAGTTGAAACAGGATCTACATCTCATACCATATACAAAAATCCTAATACCTGTTCTACAATAATGGTCTTATACAAGTATTTGTCCTTATGGGACTGAGTTAGTTCACCTAGCATCGTGCTCTCCAGACCCTCCCTGTTTTGAATGGTCTAAAAGAGCTTTGTATGCACTGAAAGTTGGACAGTGAATGTGGAAGACTGAAGAAGAATCAATAATTTTAAATTGTGTTGTTGGTGAAGAATATTGACAATACTGTGGACTGTCAAAAGATCAAACAGACCTGTCTTGGAGGAAGTGCATCCAGAGTGTTCTTTAGAGGCAAAAATGGTGAAAATTCTTTTCACATACTTTGGCATATTGTCAAGAGGAGGCCAGGCCTTGGAAAAAGTCATCATGCTGGGAAAGGTAGAGGATCATTTAAAGAGAAGTCAACTATCAGTGAGATGAATTGACACAATGACGGTAACCATGGACTTGAGCTTGGAGTGAAGATGGTGCAGGATAGGTTAGGATATGTTGTTCATAGGGTCACTGTGAGTCATAGCTGACTTGATGGTACCTAGCAACAACAAAAACAACAGAGCTTTCTGGTGCCACACATATGCAGAGGTAAGAAGACTGACCACTCTACAATCTTTTCGAGAATAGCCATGAGGAGGTTGTCACAGGACATGTCCAGTGATGACTAACGACACCATTTTGAAAGAGAAAATGTAACAGCACATGTCTTCTGAGGATGACAGAGCTGCTGTCTTGGAGGCCAGCTGCCCCGCTTCCTGATTCGGAGAATCTCTCCATTGCTAAAATAACCTTGCTTTTCCCTCTTGAAAGTGGTAATTAAACATGAGCTCTTCTACAAACCCTTAACCTAACCTACAAATGCTCTCCCTCAACCCTTCTATTCCTTGAGACAGGACTGCTTTTCTCATTCCATCACATGTCCAGTACTGATTTTTGGCAGCAGAACCACACCTTGGTGGCGCAGTGCTCACAGCCATGGTCCTCTTAGTAATCTAATGCTCCTCTTTCAAGTCTCCCATTCCAGGATTTTGGCCAGTAATTTTTCCTGTTCTTGGTTACTGTGACTAATCATCCAAATTGTAAAAATTCAGCTTTATTCCTATTTTGCTTTGTCAGCCATGACAGAACTGGTCCATCCAAAGTCCTGGTTAAAAGACAAGGAGTTGTTGGTGAGTTGGCTATTGGCTAAGCCAGGGATCACATTTCATTCATCTGTTAATCTCATAGAAAATGTTGGACTAGGCAGGTTGCAGCTCAGAACTTTTGCACTGAAATAACCAGAAAATAAGGATAATAATAGGTAGAAATGATAATTCTTCTACTCAGTTTAAAAAGAAAAGATGAGGAAGTACTTCACTAAAGGAAAAAATTGAATTGTAGCAGCAAACAAGGAGAGCAAGAGAACCATAAAAGGCACAGCATAGCCATCTTGAGCAGCTGTCACTGGCACAGGTAACAGTGGGACCAGGGAATCCTGGACAGCAGGATCCATAGCAGTGAAAAGGGCCATTCTTCTCTTTGTCTCCCATGCAATCCCCTACACCCCCCGCCCCCACTCTACAGGTGATGGGAAGTGTTCTACCCTGCTCTTCTCCCTCCCCCACGCTCCTGCTCCACCCCTGCCACCCTGCCAAGACCAAACTCACACTGTCTTATGGTAGAGCTGAAAGCCCTCTGAACATTTTGCCTAAACTGTGGACTGTGCCACTCCCAGCTTGCAATCAGCCCCCATAGTAGAGAGGACACCTCCTTGGACTGGCAGGTGCCTGTCCCCTGGACTGGCAGACACATTGCCAGACAGACAGCCTAGGCTGTCTGAGGCCAGCAGAAACTCTGCCACAGACTGGCAACCACACCTCTTGATACACCCTCATTATACCTTTCCTATCGCATTCCTGTTTGTTTTATATTTGTATACTTGCTTGTTTTATGGTTTAATCTTATGGGTACAGCATTTATCTGTCAGTTTGCTGTACTGGCAGGTGATTCCATGTTACTGCTTATTTTATAGTTTGAGTATATGAATGCTTGCTTGTGTATATTTTGCTCTTATGTATACAGACCTTGTCTGTTTTCTGTACTGGGTTGCTGTACTAGGTTGCTGTGATGCTTGAAGCTATGTCACCAATATTTCAAATATAAGCAGGGTCACCCCTGGTGGACAGGTTTCAGAGGACCTTTCTGACTAAGACAGACTAAGAAGCAGGATTGGCCATCCACTTCAGAAATAAGCTGCCTTCAAAAACCCCGTGAATAACAGGAATATTGTCAGATATTGTTCCAGAACTAGAGCCTC